TCACGGTCGGACACTTCTCTGGACCCACGTTTGTCGGTTCCCCTGGAGTTTCTTCCACCCTGCCACCGATTCGGACTACACTGGGCAGCACCAACGGATCTCCTCTGTCCGAATTGGCTCAGACAATTTCACACGTAGCTACCAACGTTACAAATATTGTTACCACCAAGCTTTTGACTGTGGAAGATTATACTACGTGGCAAACTCAATTTGAGTCATTCCTAGTTTCGCAAGGTCTTCTTGGCATTGTTGATGGTTCCACTCAGGTACCTCCCGCTTATTCCATAGATGTTCTAAACCGTTAAATTCCCAATCCCAAATTTTTCATTTGGTTACGAATTGATCAAACCATTCGTTCGTGGTTATTTGCAACTCTCTCTCGTGATGTTCTTATTGATGTTCGGGATTTAAAACACTCTTTTGAAAATTGGGAACGGTTAGAATCTCGATTTATGTCAACCAGTTTGGCCAGATCTATGGAATTAAAGCGCCTATTTTCTCAAATTAAAAAGAAACATGATCAGTCTATGGATGAATATTTGAGGGAGATTAAAATTTTGGTTGATGATCTTGCTACTATTAATTGCCCCGTTTCTCCTCGTGAAGCGCTCAAGGCCACTATTATGGGTTTGGGAGTTGAATACGAGTCTTTGTTCACCACTGTCTCGCTATTCCCTCAAAATTTCCCGTTTAAGACACTTCGCAATCATCTACTTGAATAAGAGCAGCGGGTTCTGTATCTCCGCTCCCAGGAGACCTCTTCCATCCATCAGGCTTTCGGTGCCACTGCCTCCTTTCCCGGGCAGACCACTGCCCAACAACCGGTTCAACAGCAGCATGGGTCTCTTCAGTCGGGCGGTCAGTAGCAATGTCCTCCGGGTTAGCAGCAACATGGGCGTGGACGTGGACGCGACAGGGGCCGCGGTGGACGAGGCAGAGGTCGCAGACAGCAGGTGCAGGCTGCATTTTGGTACCCGCAATAGGGGCAGACGGGTTACACCATGGCAGGGGGTGTTTCCACAGGTCCAGCTGGGTATGCTCCCCATCCAGGGGGTGTGCCAACTATGGGTACTGTTATTTGTGATTCTGCCATGTCACATTTAAATATTAAAGCATTACGTGTTGGTGTTACTAATTCTAGTCCCGCAGGCTTGCCATCAGATGGGGGTATTCTTGGTTCTGTTCCCCATCTTGTTGTGTGTCAAATTTGCTTTTCTGCAGGTCATTCTGCTATCACCTTCCCCTCCCGCTTTACTCAGTCTTCAACTCCTGATCTGTTGACCACTCCGGGTGAATCTAATCTGGCTCTTGGGTATCCTGATTCGGGAGCTTCTGCTCACATGACTGCTTCTGAAGGTATTTTACTTAATAAATCTGCCTACATTGGCTATAATTCTGTTAGTGTTGCTAACGGTGCCCATTTACCCATTTGTCATGTTGGTGATGTTGCATTAACATCTTCTAGCCGTTCTCTCACCTTAAAATCTGTTTATCACGTGCCTTACTTAAAATATAATTTAATTTCTATTAAGCATCTTTGCGCAGATTATAATTGTACTGTCATTTTTGATAAAAATTCCTTTTTGATTAAGGACAACGCCTCAGGGGTGGTGCTTCTGCGTGCTACCAGTAGTGGGCCACTCTATCCTCTCAATTGGCTAGCGTCTCCTTCTTTAGCTTTAGCTTTTGTTTTAGCTTCTGGCCCTGTGCGGCACCGTAGATTAGGTCACTGTGGTGATAATATTTTATAATTCCCTAAACGTAGACAATTCTTATGTAGTCACACTCCTTTTACTCATGATTGTGTTGCTTGCCGGTTGGAAAAATCACAACGTTTACCCTTTACAGACGTTTGTCATAATTCTTCTCTTCCTTTACAACTCATTCATTATGATGAATGACAATCTCCCGTTCGCTCTGATTTGGGGTTCAAGTATTATGTCCGCTTTATTGATGATTATTCTCGTTTTTCTTGGATTTATCCCATGTGTCAAAAAAGTGAGATTTTTTCGCATTTTAAAAATTTTAAAGCCTTGGTTGAAAATCTTTTTAATCAAAAAATTAATTTTTTTCAAAGTGATGGGGTGTGGTGAATTTGTTAATCATAATATGCAGCAATATTTTTCTGATAATGTAATTTATTTTCAAAAATCTTGTCCTGACACACCTCAACAAAATGGGGTTGCTGAAAGAAAACACCGTCATCTTCTTGAATTAACTCGGACTATGCTTCTTGAAGCACTTGTTCCCAGTGAATATTGGGTTGATGCTATATTTACAGCTGCATATATCATTAATAGATTACCGTTCCCTATATTATTGGGAATTTCTCCATATCAAAAACCTTTTCACCGTGTGTCTGACTACTCATTTATGTGTGTGTTTGGCTCAGCCTGTTATCCAAAAATTTCAACCACTTCGGCTAATAAACTTTCCCCCAGGTCTGTCCAATGCGTTTTTCTTGGCTGTGCATCTGACTATAAGGGTTATCGTTGTTTTGATCCTAGTACCGATCGTGTCTATGCCAACCGTCATGTTAGGTTCCACGAGGATATTTATCCCTTTAAAACCCTTCTGCAATCTAGACCATCTCTTACACCAACCCATACAACCTTTCCCATGCACCTCACCGGTTACTCGCCTAAACCCACTGCCCTCCAGCCACCCACCCACTCTCTGTCGCAGCCTTGCCCAACGACAGTTCTCCTCCATCTTCTTTAGAACTTGCCATTAGGACAACCCCAATACTCAGCTCCTCGCCGTCACCTTCCTCCTCCCGGTTGGCTAGCTTCACACCACCGTCCAGGCGGTCATCCACCGCTTCTTTCCGTTTAGAGTCTGTCGCTAGGTCTCCACCTCCCACTCAGTCTGCACACCTTGAAACTTCTCAGCCCGACCCCGTCTCCCCTCCACCCAATTCCGTTGCACCCACAAGTGTCTCTAATCACCACCCCATGAAGACCCGTGCCAAGGCGGGCATTTTTAAACCTAAAACCATTGTTGATTTAAGTACGGTTGTTATTCCTGCGGATCCCACCTATTTTACTGAGGCTAATAAATATTTAAAATGGCGAGAAGCAATGACTGATGAATTTAATGCACTCATTAATATTAATACTTAGGATCTGGTGCCCTTTAACAATACTAAGAATATTGTTGGATGTAAGTGGATTTATAAAACGAAATATTATTCTGATGGGTCCGTGGAGCGCCACAAAGCTAGATTAGTTGCTCAGGGGTTTAATCAACAGACTGATATTGATTTTTGTGAAACTTTTAGACCTGTCACTAAACCCACCACTGTTCGTATTATTCTTACATTAGCTGTTTCTTTTGGTTGGGTTATTCGTGAGCTTGATGTTAAAAATGCCTTTTTACATGGTCACCTGACAGAGGAAGTCTATATGCATCAGCCACGTGGTTTTATTCATCCTCAATTTCCTAGTCATATATGTCGTTTGCGCAAGGCTATTTATGGTCTTAAGCAAGCACCACGGGCTTGGTTTCATCGCTTTAATAACTTTTTACTGCAGCATAATTTTACCAGTAGTAAATCTGATAACTCATTATTTATTTTTTGTCATAATAATTCTATCATTTATTTATTATTATATGTAGATGATATTATTATTACTAATCATTTTTCCATGAAGGATCTGGGTAATCTCCATTATTTCTTGGGTCTTGAGGCAGTTCGTTCTCCTGAAGGTTTGTTTCTTTCTCAACATAAATATGTTTCTAATCTTCTCACACGTTTTTATCTCTACACGGTCAAACCCGCTCGCACACCATTAGCGTCTCGTACTACTTCTGTCTCTATCTGATGGTGAGTTACTTGCGGACTCTACTGAGTATCGCAGCATGGTCGATGCTTTACAATATTTAACATTGATAAGGCCAGATATTACTTATGCAGTACACTTAGTTTCTCAGTTCATGCATGCCTCCCGTACTACTCATCTACTTGCAGTCAAAAGAATTTTCAGATACTTGCAAGGGACACGTGATCACGGGTTGTGGCTACAACATTCTGATCGACCCACATGTGTTGTTGCCTATTCAGATGCCGATTGGGCTGGTTGTCCCGATAACTCACGGTCCACTACCGGTTTCGCTGTATTTTTGGGTCCTAATTTAATTTCTTGGAAGCCCAAGAAGCAGCTCACAGTATCAAAGTCATCCACAGGAGCAGAATATCGTGCTATCGCTTACACAGTTCATGACACACTTCACATTAGATTTGTTCTCTTTGAGCTCGACTACCCTATCACGGAACCTGTGCATATATTATGTGATAATATTTCAGCTTCCTACTTGAGTGCAAATCCTATTCAGCATGCTCGAAATAAACACATCCAGATTGACTACCATTTTGTTCGCGAACGTGTTGCCCATGGAGATATGATTGTTCAACATGTTCCTACGCATCTACAGTTGACAGATATTTTTACTAAGAGTCTCCCTACTCAGCGTTTTCATTTTTTGAAGGACAACCTGCACGTTGTTTCTCCTGCACAGTTTGAGGGGGTGTAATAGAATTATTATATGCTTAGTATTTTACTTTACATTAAACTCTCTTTATTATAAATATATTTGTCGGGGCTCCTTATAGAGCAACATGTTCCATTATTCTCACAAAAATATGACAGGCCATTCTCAAGAATCTTCAAAATTATCCTCTGAAATATAAATTGAATTTCTATCGCACGCTAATAAATATGGAGTGAAATTTGATCTCAAATCTTTGTTTTGAACTCAATATCTCATTAGTCATCGTGGCTTGGTGTGGACTGCGAAGTGTTTGGAAGGGGTGCCCCTGGCCGTGGGGCAGGTGTGGCGAGGCCGTATGCCCAGAAAAAGAGAAATGGAAAAGAAACTGGGCCCAATATTTTGTCTTTGTAGGTGTGAATTTTGTATCTTAAACTATTTTTTTGTCCGGCCCAACCACTGAACGGCCCACTGATTCCAAAATCCAAAAGACAAAGGCTGAGTTAGTCACACGGAGACGGAAGCTTCAGTCTTCAGCCGAACAGAGCCCTATCAGATCGCCTAGCGGAGTAGACACACCATCGACGAGCGCCGAACGCCAACTCCCGATAGGCCAAACGTCGCCGACTCGACGGCCTCCTACCTCCGACGCTTGGACGCCATTTTCCCTGCCCGACTGCGCCTTCTCGGCTTCTCAAAATCTCAGTCCAGGCTGCCTACTGCGCTCCAGGGCCTCAGAGATTCGGTCTTCGTCCAATCGACCCTTCTCAGTTCTCACATTCAGAGTTTCAGGCTTCTCGCAATCACGCTTCAGTATTCAGGTACTTAGTACTTCTACGACCTCATTCATTTCACAGCAAGTGCTTAACTCTTTTAGTGATCTATTGAATATTTGATTAAATCACGAATTCATAGTCGTTTAATGTTTATAAATGAATATTTGATAAATAATTAGTTGATTTGTTGGCTGTTGAGCGCTGATTAATGATAAGTTCGTAGTTTTTTTGAAAGCCATTAGTTCATGGTTGTTGACTAGTTGAATTTTAAGTGATTAGTGTTTTTTCTGTTTATGTAATTAAATTGGCATTTTTTGTTATGGAGAAGTATAGAGATGCGGATCTGCATTTGGTGTTCATCGACTTAGAAAAGACATATGGCAGGGTACCTCGAGAAGTTCTTTGGTGGACCTTAACTAGGAAAGGCATATCACGCAAGTATATCAGCATCATCATGGATATGTATGAGTATTGTACTACAAGTGTTCGTACTAGTGTAGGGAGGACTGAAGAGTTCCCTATTACTATCGGAGTGCACCAAGGATCGGCCTTTAGTCCTTTCTTATTTGCCATAGTCATGGATGAACTTACGAAGTCAATTCAAGACGATATACCGTGGTGCATGATGTTTGCCGACGATATTGTATTGATTGATGAGACGCAATCAGGTCTTAAAGCAAAGTTGGAAGTATGGCGACAAACATCGGAGAATAAGGGTTTCAAACTAAGTCGGAGCAAAACAGAGTACATGGAGTGCAAGTTTGGTGGAGGTAGAAGTAGTGGTAATAGCGGAGTTACTCTGGATGGTATGGAGATACCAGTCAGCGATATGTTCCGTTACTTGGGCTCCATAATTCAGAAGGACGGTGAGTTAGATGGAGATGTATCCCATAGAATCAGAACAGGGTGGATGAAGTGGAAGAGTGCGTCAGGATTTCTATGCGACCGAGGTATTCCGACTAGACTGAAGGGTAAATTTTATAGGACAGCAATTAGGCCTGCATTACTGTATGGCGTAGAGTGTTGGGCGGTGAAACAATGTCACATTCAAAAGATGAGTGTGGTAGAGATGCGCATGCTGCGTTGGATGTGTGGGCATACTAGGAAGGACCGCGTGAGGAATGAGACAATCAGACAAAGGGTGAGAGTAGCACCTATTGAAGACAAGATGCGGGACTCGCGCCTACGGTGGTTTGGTCATGTGCGTAGAAGACCGAGTGATGCACCTGTTAGGCGAGTTGAGATTTGTGGAGAAGAGACAGGGAAGAGAGGGAGAGGAAGACCCAAACAGACGTGAGTTAGGGGAGTTCGAAGTGATATGCTTCTTCTGGGGTTGGATGAGGGCATCACTTTGGAGAGAACTAAGTGGAGGGTGGGTATTCACGTGAAGGAGTGATCTTGATAATCTTTTTCCCTCATCTTTTTTTTCCTAGTTTTTTTATCCTTATATATATATAAGCATTATTTGCAGCCTTTTTATTTTATCATTTTTATATATATTCATCTTTTTTTATATTATCTTTTCATAATAGTTTATCTTTTTATCTTTATTCCTTCTTTTCCTTTTGGTTGTGATATCATGTATCGATTCATGTTAGCCGACCCCAATATCTTTTGGGACTAAGGCTTGGATTTTGTTGTTGTTGTTGTTAGGTAAATAATTTCAATCATAATAAATTTATAAGTTTAATCGATTTTGAGCATAAGGTATTAAAAAGCTTGATTATAAAGCCATTGTAGATGATTTCGCTTCACAATGCTCAGAGAAAAATGTATTTAAGTAATATTTTTTATTTTATTTTGAAACTGTGATTCTACTATGTTTAGTTTAATGAATTTAAGTCTTTGTTTATTATAGAGGTCTTAAAATATTACTCTGTATTATTTTGCATGTTAGGTTAGATGACAAAGGGTTTGATAAATTGGTTTTTGATTAAGCCCATTTTAAATTCTCTGTCCCTAGACCTTCAAACCAACAGGAGTGGCCCTGAGTGTTTGGTTTGATTTGTTAATGTGTTTTTCTTCATCATGTATCCAAACTGTGCTTTGATTTGTTGTATCCTCGAGTACGCCCTTGTTGATAATTGTGCCCTTGCAAAAGCATCTTTTGTGTCTTTTACTCAATCGTTTAATACTTTACTGTTAAGAAATGATTATAATGATCTTAGGCTTTTGTGTTGATTTATTTTTAATTTCATACAATTTATCTGTTTGAATTGGTAATTAGCGTATTTGATTGATTAAACGAATCTATATAGGTGATGATATCTTTGATTTTTTGATAAAGAAATTGATTCAGAAGCTGTTGGAGATGATGAACATGGGTTTTTATGATGAATCCATTTGTTGACTGACTGTTGTACTCTGAAGATGTAATGCACTTGCTTTTGTGTGTTCTATGCTATTAATTATCTTGTCAACTTTGAATAAGATGTAATATATACACTCTCACCTGTGGTTGACTTATTATATTGGTTTATGGGTTCCCTAATTTTCAAAATTTTAAAACAATTTTTATTTTTTCCATAAAATCTTACTCTGTACTATTTACAATTTGATTCATTCCATAAAATTTTGAAAAGCTTCTAGGGATACGATCCAAATATACAATTTTAATAACCTTGAGTATGAAAATATTCGCCTCCCAAACACAGACCTGAGTAACTGTCTACGGCTGGCATCCTTCACAGCTGCCCTGCGAGTTTCTTAGGTTCTAGTTTCTCCATCAGCACCCCATCATCATCCATCTCTACTCTTCTGTAGATAAAAACGTCCAGATCCCCATCAAGTCGCTGCAACCAGACGCTAAAACCCATCATCACCGAATTATCCCTCTACCAGGAATCTAGGATTCCGGGAAGCCTGTGGGTATCCCAGTCGTATCTCCGGTCAAAGTTACTCCATGTGGAGTGATATATACCATATTTCTCCCAAGGTTTGGCGTCTTTGCATATCACATGGACTGAGACATAAAAATATATAGTTATAGATGTAGAGCACTTATAAGGTAGGGTATTTTACTGATTATTCGACCCTCACCACAGCATATGAACATAATGCTCACACATTCACCATATTAGTGCCTTTTAGTGATGATTTGATACTCACCATAGCACACTTTAACATAAATACAACTGAATATGTTCATATGTGTGTCAGTATGTAGTCTTTTTTATTGGGTCATGTAAAATACAAATGCTGCACTGTTTTGTATTATGAATGATTGATTAATAATAAGGCTTTTGGATCGATTAGTGTTAGCCGACCCCAATGTCTGTTGGTAATAAGGCTTGGATGTTGTTGCGATTAATAATAATATCTCTAATTAAACTAAAAACTCTAGTGCATATAGCCATATATAATACGTATAAGAAATGTTAAAAAGCTTGTGTAGATATGAAAAAGAGTTTGTCCTGTAAAACTTGATTGATCTCATTCACTTTTTTTTTAAAAAAAATCTTCTATAGATTATTTGCTTCTGCTTGGTGCCTATGCGAGTTTGCTTGGGGGAGATATACTACTTCACGACCACCTAGAAAAGTGTCGGCCTGTGTTTGTACAATGTCTGGCAACAACAGTAACCCTCCAAACAAGAACATAGGGGTTTCCTCTCCATTTGGGAATTCAATGCCTGTCAATCCTGCAGCTCACCTTCAGTCTCCGCCACCCCAACAGCGGATACAGGCTGGTTTCCCTAACCAATTTCAGTTGTCACAACTATCAGCCGCCCATGCTCAAGCTATTGCTCAGGCACAAGCGCAGTCTAAGGCTCATGCTCAAGCCCAAGCCCAAGTCCAAGCTGCACACGCTCAGTTTCAGGCCCACTTACAGGCCCAGAGTCTAGCCCTTAACCAAGCACATTTGGGCTCATCATCACCTTCTCTTTCAGGCATGGGAAATTCCAATGCCAAAAGGTTCCCACAAAAACCACCAGTTCGTCCACCTGGCTTGCCAACCACAATGTCTCCCCCAGTCAGACCCATGGAACTTTCTGCTTCTGCCCGTAAGAAAAAGCAGAAGCTGCCGGAGAAACAATTGCACGATCGAGTGGCGGCAATCTTGCCTGAATCCGCCCTCTACACTCAGCTGCTCGAGTTTGAGTCTCGTGTAGATGCTGCACTCTTAAGAAAGAAAATTGATATCCAGGACGCATTAAGGACCCCACCATCCATTCAGAAGACCCTCAGAATCTATGTGTTCAATACTTTTGCTAACCAAACTAGGACTGCTCCTAAGAAACCCCAGTCTGAGCCTGCCACATGGACTCTGAAAATAGTAGGAAGGATTTTAGAGGAAGGAATGGATCCAGATCAGGGTGCCATGTTACAGAAATCATCAAACATCATGTACCCAAAATTTTCAACTTTCTTTAAAAGAGTATCAATTTCACTAGACCAGAAGCTTTATCCTGATAACCATATGATTATTTGGGATAGTTCTCGATCCCCTCAATCTCACGAAGGGTTTGAGGTGAAAAGGAAGGGAGATCAAGAATTCACTGTGAATATTAGACTGGAGTTAAATTACTCCCCTGAGAAGTATAAACTGTCACAGGCTTTGACAGAAGTCTTGGGTGTGGAAGTAGATACCCGTGCAAGGATTATATCTGCAATCTGGCACTATGTTAAAGCTAGGAAGTTGCAATGCCCCGAGGATCCTGCATATTTCAATTGTGACCCATCACTTCAGAAAGTGTTTGGGGAAGGAAAGGTGAAATTGACGACAGTTGCACAAAAGATCACCCAACATTTGTCTCCACCTCAACCAATTCATTTAGAACACAGAGTTAAGCTTTCTGGGGATAATCCTGCCGGGAGTGCGTGCTATGATGTATTGGTGGATGTGCCATTCCCTATCCAGAGAGAACTGAATGCCTTGCTGGCGAATACAGAAAAGACTAATGAGATAAATGCATGTGACCAAGCGATTTGTGGTGCTATAAGGAAGATACATGAGCATCGGAGGAGAAGGGCGTTCTTTCTTGGTTTCAGCCAATCGCCTGTTGAGTTCATTAATGCTTTGATTGATTCTCAGGGTAAAGATCTAAAGCTTGTTACTACAGAAGGTGGTCAAAATGTTGAGGGAGAGCGTCGGTCTGATTTTTACAGTCAGCCGTGGTATGTTTTTTTTTTTCCAGTTATGTTATCTATCTCTTTTAGATACATTCATTGCATTGTTCTATGCCCTTCCTTAAAAGTATGGTAGAGAAAATTAATAATTAATGATATACTTTTTATAGAGATAAAAGAGCTTTTTATCTTTCAAATATTACGAAAAAAGAAAAGAACTTGATTTTGGGACATGGACATCATAAGAAGGAAAGTGGGAACATAATTACAGGAGGGAGGGAGTATATATTGTGTGGCTAATGTGTTTGTGTCATTTCTTATCAAGACAAGAACCAATTGTCCTTTGTATAAGCCTTTTTTTTTTCTATGAAGTCTTATTTTAATCATTGTTTAGCCATAACAAAAACTTTTTTCATGTTTATTTAGAAGTAATACAAGGCAGTGAAAAAGAAGAGGTCTTTCCTAAAATATAACTAAAATAATACTCATGGACAAAAGTGTGATTAAAGTGACTATGAACATACTTTAATAGTCATTACGATGTAATCTTTGAACATAATTATAGTCACTAAAAGTTACCAAGTCACATTTTTATCCACTATCCATATTTTGATTATATATTTGGAATTATTTCAAAAAGGATATTATTGGAAATTTGGAATTATTTCAAAAAGGATATTATTGGAAATTTTGAATATCATCAAGAGTTTAAGAAAATTACTCTGATGATTTGCATAAACTTGTCTACTGTGTCTTAGAATTTGATAGGTTGTGTAATTAGGCTAAGCATGGATCTGGGATTTCATTACCACCACATCTGAAAGAACCAAAATTTTGAATTCCTCACCAGACTTTATTTAACTTGTATATAATATGGCACGGCACCAGATTGTCGCACAACCTTACTATCCTGAACTGTTCCAGAGTCAGCCATTTTAATATATACTCCGTTATGTATAGAGAATTGATCTTATCAGGCGGTCCGCACCAGGAGTGCTGTGCGAACTTGCCCATTTGGGAGCCTCCCCGATGGATTTTTTTGAGGAAAATTTATGAGCATGTTCTTCATCAAGTATAAATTATCTCCGCAAAATTTCAGCTTCAAAATCAATTGGAAAGTTAAAATATACTCCTCTGTCCCACTGGACGTTGCGAACTTTCCCTTTTTTTGTCTCAATTTTTTTTGCCACTTTCCTATTAAAGCAACTGATTTGTGGTTTGCTCATTCCACTTTCCTTTGCAAAGTCAAATTCTCCATTTTTTATTTGATCCAAACTCTCTCTGTATATATGTACACTCACAATTAGGTGCACACATATTTGTATGCATGGCCTGCCTGTTCACCCGTTTTCGTAACTACCCCCTTGAAATTCTTTGAACATGATTAATTTAAGTAGCACAGGTGCTCCACTAATCGCTATTATAGATACACACTGAGCACGGACAGATATATGAGATCCATTCTCCCACTACATTTTCTTGAACAGGGTTGAAGATGCCGTTATTCGTTATCTGAATCGGAAACCAGCTACAGATGCTGCACCTCCTGGGAGCTCATAAGTAATGTTTCTGTCTACCTTATTCAGTCATTCAACATTATTTCAGCTGTGACTGCAACAAGGAAATCAAGATTTGGATGGTAATAGTGTACGTTAACTTGGTATGTACTGTACTAATTTTATACTCTGTATTAAACAGTGGAACAACTTAGATCTAGATGCCTTGATTTTTTCTTTTAAAATTTTAGTGGTATATATATTCATTTGTGCCAGCAGCAAATTTGAATGCTTTTAAGAAAGATACTTCCATAGTGTGTCACGGCCAACTTTTTATGGGTGTAAAGATAATAGTCGCTTTTAATTTAATGTCCATCAATCCATTAGCTTTTTATCCTTTTCAGTTTTCACGTTTACGGGTTCAATTTAGGGATGGACCGGTTCGGGCCCGGCCGGGCCTCGGTTCATGAAGGGGAGGCCCGGAACCGGCCCGGGTAACCCCGGGTCCGGGCCGAGCCGGGTCTCGGTTTTACTTTTTTTTTTGGCTTTTCCTAGTTAACCCCCAACCCCCCCTCACCCCAAACCAACCCTAACCACCTCAAATGGCCCAAAATACCCAGCCCAACCCAAAAACTTAAAAAAAATTCTAAAAAAAAAAAATTGGCCCGGCCCGGGCCCGAACCGCCATCCCACCGGGCCGGGTGCCCCGAACCGGCCAACCAACCGGTTCACCGGGCCGGTCCGGGCCCGCACAGTAGCGGGCCGGTCCGGTTCCAGACCGGTTGGCCCAGCCCGAGTCCACTCCTAGTTCAATTTGATCATTTGAAAATTTAAAAGGATCACGGTTCCCTAAATTCAATTCTTGACTCGATTTGACCCTTTCCTGACATACTCGGTAATAAATAAACTTAGGACGTGCTGCTAAAATCACATTACGCTAGTAAGACACGTGGAGTAAATACGTAGGCGGTTTAAAAAGCTGCTTACCAATTGAAAGATGTGCTTAATGTGCCGTTTACTAAGCATACCATCCACGTGTATTAATTGACACTTTAAATTTTTTCAGTTTTCAAATTTACCTTATCCCTTACCTCTGTCCCTACCATACCTTACCTAGTCCCCACGTGACCCCCTCCCCCACCCTACACATCATTCGTACCCTTAACCCCCTACCCTCTTCCCCTAACCTGTACGTGTATCCTTACCCCCATCCCCTACCACCTAACCCTAACCCTAACCCCCTACTCGTAACGCGTACCCTACCCCCCACCCACTCACACCTGGCCCTCGTCCTACCCTCGCCCCTGGGTAGGGGCGGGATAGGTGCAGGGTTAGGGATATGAGTATGCGTTCGTAATGACCCCCACATATTAAATTATATATTTGTGTACGTTAATGTTTATGTGTCTATATATGTATAAAGTTATTTTGGATATTTTAATGTTAAACGATTTTTTAAATCTTGAGAAGTAAACATGAGCTTATATCACTACTTGTTTTATGCGTCGCTTATTAATGCAAATCTAATAAGCATTGTTTAGTAACCCGTGAAATAGATATGTCCTTAAGTATTTAAGTTAAGAAATAATGACATGTATGATGGAAATATATTGAATATATTAGTAAACGTTAGCGAAGGCTGTTATCTACAATTTCGCAGTCACCTTGACGTTATATGTGCTTATGCTCAACTACGTAAATGTTGAAATTACTTTGGGAACATGCAGGAGTTTGTGGAAGGAATGAGAATTACAATAACAAATTAACAATGGACATATGCAAATTTAAATGAACAATCTAATATTCTAATATGATTCTCAGAATAATTGAATCATCACTACTTGAGTATGCAGAATACAATGTGTCTTTAAAATTTGCTTCTAATCTACTCCCTCCGTCCCATAAAATAAGTCCCATTTTCCTCTTTGGGTCGTCCCAAAAAATTGTTTCCATTTCCCTTTTTGGAAAGTTTTGTGTGACTAACATTCATTTACCTTTTTCTTACTCAACCACAACCATACATTTCCACTTTATTCCCACTTTCTTAAACTCCGATCCAAGTCAAAGTGAGACTAATTTTCCGGGACGGAGGGAGTATTAAATAGATGTCGCTCTCTAGTTGCCTAGCTAATTCGTCCATTTCGGATGAATCTGCCATACATATTGTAATTAGTTACGCGGCTGCCCCAATGCCCCTTATCAGTACCAGCTTCATTCTTATTCGTGATCTCTTAAGCTACCATCTCTTTTCTTAAGCACACATTTCAATAATACCCTTATCAAATGTACAATTTATTAATCATATATACTTAAGCCAACTTTTTTATTTTTTATTTTTGAATGATCACATGCCTGCCCTAATCTATCATACCAACCACCTTCTAGAATAGCTCTCCACTTCCCTTCCCTAAACTTCGTTCCTCAACACTTTCTCGATCCCAAAAATTCCAAGGCTTGTGATTTGGAGGAGAAAGAGAAAACTGTAATCAAGACACGACTTCCAGCCATGGTGAAGATACGATTTCCGCTCCGCAAAGCGAGACTTGATTGGTGTTGTTCGGGTTGCATTAACTTTTTTACTTACCCTTTAAAGATTGGCATGAGCTTACCATATCGGGCAGAGGCGGCCGCTCGCCGCTCGAACGCGATGATCAAGAGATCTAGGAATGTGAAACTGAAAAGTCCAATTGAGCGGATGACCTCAGCCAAATACCTTACTGTCCTCATTTCATTTGGCATGGGAAAGTAGGACGAACCTCGAGGGCCGTTCGAAAGTGATGAGGGGATCATAGAATAAGAACAAGTGAAGGACAACTACGTTGGAAGACTGGAAGCAAAAGACAAACAAGCGCAACAAATCGAGTATTTTATTTTTTGGCACTACCGATTAGAATATACAATGAAAGAATACAAAAACAAAGTACACATAGAAGAACATAATGTATACTAAGGGTTGGCTGATGTCTTAGGATCAGCCGAATCATTAGGAACAGTAGAGTCCTGAAAATGTGCAACATCCCTCTGTGAGTACATATGTCCTAGCGACAATCATTTCTTTAAAGACATATGTACTTGATCACATTTAGTTTTTATATTTGATATATACACGGTATTACACTTTATGAATGATTGTTTTCGATTGTCAATGTTTTATTCATAATTGTGTTCCCTTGAATTTATGTTGTCAATAAGTAAGTGGGAGCTTATATGATATAACATAAGGTCCTAAAATAGTCCCAATCAATGATCATCAAAAATGGGATATTGATGATATGCGATAAGATTGGTATGTGGACTGCATCATACTTTTAGAAAGTATAGTTGATCTCATGACTATGAGTTCCTGTAATTCATGATGGTCACATAGATATTTTAGAGAATATTGGCATACCCACCGAGAAACCATTTGATAAGTTCTATTCATGTGTCTATGGGATTATCGGCGTATAGAGTAGTGTAATAGTCCTCCGACTTGAGGTCAATACGTACTACATGTGCGGAGTGATGTACTTTGACCATGATCAACGCTTGCACTCCGATCGGGGTAGATACGGCATGTGTTGGGTGCATCACGAAGCACACGGAGTAGTTTTTGAGCCAAGAAAGGATTCATTCCTCATAATAGATTAAGAGAGAACATTCTACTTCTCATATCTAGATGGATCATAAAGTCATTGGCCAATGCAAAGATATATTCGTTTTGGATATCGAATATGATCGTTATGGATCATCTAGAAAGATTGAGAGACAGAGACTGAGTTATTGGGATAGACACTATATCATGTTCTAGACTTAGTTGAATGTTCGCTGAATGAAAGGACCGTATCACTATGAGCTCTATATTACAGGGAGTTTGTATAGTCCTCGCAAACGTCCTTATATATTAAGTTTGTCTGGAGAATCGTCTAGGGATTCGCTAAGACCTTAATTTGATTAGTGCTTAATATATAAGGCCCTATGGGTCACACAACAAGTGATTATACCTTCCGATTGAATTGTTAGAAGGAATTAAATATTATTAATTGGATTAAATAATATTTAATTCGTAATACTGAAAATGAATTAAATATTAATTAGATTAAACATATTTAATTCATGAAGCTGAAGGAGAGTTCTATTTGATAGAATTAATTAAGTAAGATAAATTAGATTTATCATACTTAAATAAGATGTATTTATTATTAAATAAAGAAGATATTTTCTTTTGTAATTTGGAATTAAAAGAAAAGTAAATAAAATAAATATTAATATATAATAATTAGAAAGTGGCGTGCAGCCACATCTCAATTATTATTATTATTTTGTTTTGTTTTATCTACTTATTTAATTAATTAGGAGTATTGGTCCTAGTAGGATTAGAACTCATTAATTAGAAAGACTTTCATTGTGATTGGGAAACTAGTTTCGAACTAGTATAAATACATCCTTCTCCTTCATAATTTGTAGACCAGTTTTCAGATTCAGTATTAATAGTTTATTTCCCTGCGAAGAGATTTCGTAGCCTTTCTCTTAGGGAGATCTAACCGTTCTTTCGGGAAGGAGAAATCACGTGGATACCAAAGGTCAAGGATTATCACCGCTAGGCTGGAAGATCTGTAAGTTCTAACTTAGATCTGTTATTATTATCATATTCGTTATTTTGTCATAATCAGGGAAGATCCGTTTGGGAAAATTTTAAACTTCCGCTGCCGTACTTTCGAGGTACGTTACATCAATTTCCTAACAGTGGTATCAGAGCCAGACTGATTCTAATGACATTATACAAATTTTGATATGTATATTCGTAAAGTGAAAAATATATACTTCGATCATAAGTATTTTGCCGTTGTTTGATTTCCGAAATCAAACCCTAGTTATCAAATCTAAGAATTTAATTTTAGAAATTAAAATCTGGTAGCAAAGTTATAGCGGACAAACATGATGACCAGCGATCTGTTTTTCTTTTTCTTCGTATGATTTCCGTTTTTTTGGAAGAGCTGCAATCAGCGATTTTTGTGCCGCTGAGCTGTTATGGAATTTTGATTAAAAGACTGCTTTCAGAAATTGGATCAAATCTGATGACTTCTTTTTGCAATTTCCTAGAATTCTACTCAAAATGGAACTCCGTAACTTGTAGTTTGTTAGAATTTGAAGAACGTTATTATTATTATACCCTGTAATTACTAGTTCGTATAGTAATATAACTATATTAAATTAACCTATTTTAATTTAAGTATCTTTGAGAATACGACGGTTAATTTTAAATTTTAATCAATAGTTGTATTATAATTGTATGTCTGAGTTAGATCTCGTTAACATATTATTTGATAATATGTTTTAGCATCTTGATTAAATAGAATAATTTATTGCCCCGTCAAATGTTCCCCATAAATTAAAATTTAAGTCTTATCTGGGAT